GGACCAGGGAGGATGATTCAACCACTGAACCACTAGATGTCGCTGAAAACAACAAATCCTACACACTGTGCCTTTAAAGCAAAGGAAAACAGAAAACAGAAGGTGCTACAAGCTATAAAATATAAAAAGTTTGTATTTTTCATGTTTTACCTAAACAAGCTTTATCTGAAACACATTTAACTCTTTAAGAATTTGACCCAAGACTTTTGCACAGTCTTGTATATATATTTAAACTTTCTGGCTTTTAATATATTTTACATGTCCATCAAGAAGAAATAAATAAATAAGAATTAAATAAATAAATTTCTTCAAACTGATGGTGTTCCACAGCTGGTTTTGTTCGTCTGCAGCTACTTACTCTGATGAAACCTCGCTGCTGATTGGTCGTCACTCTCCTTGCTGTTGAATAACGGTGGGGTGAACAGAGGGGCGGTCACCGGGGTGGAGTTTGAAGCCGAGCTGATGTGGGTGCTGGTGTTCACCGCCGTGGAAGAGGCGGCCGACGGGTAGAACTGGACGTCAATGGCGACCGTGGTGGGGCCCAGAGAGAGGTGGTGGGAGAGCTGCAGTGGGGGGTTACCGTGCGAGATGCTGAGGCTGTGGTGGACGGGGGCGGCGGCGGGTGACTCGGCGCTCTGGAAGGTCAGAGAGGAGTGAAGCGTGTCGTCACGCCTGGGCGGTGGGGACAMGGAAGGCGAGGGTAAAGGTGACGGAGGCGGCAGGGCATCCTGGCTGTGGTTTTCTCCTGGGCTGCTGGTCCAGTCCTCYGCACACTGCAGCTGGACGCTGGGCTGAGACAAGCTGCACGTCTTATCGTCTTCCAGGGATGGATCGATCTGAAATAAGACACAACGTGTAATATCTAAACTTACAATGAGTGCACTGAAAAAAAGGATTTTTGGGTGTAGTAACATTTATTTAATTATTCTTTTAAATTTTACAAAAAATATCTAAATCTCTAAACTACTAATTTACTAAATAAACAATACACATTATATTGTATATCAATATTACTGTACAAAAAAGTAGGATTCATGTTTGTTGTTGTTAAATCATTTTAGGGAATTAGTTAACTTTGTTCTTTCAGCAATTAGTCTGTTGTGTTACTCTAATTTGTGTGTTCATTATTTGTTAACTTGTGTTAAACCGTTCAGCAGAAGTAATCATTAGTGAGAGTGGTAGGCCTAGTCATTAATAAGACCTGTGAGTTTCACTTTGTTTGWGTTGTTCATGAAGAAGAACCCAATAAAGGTCCTTCAAAACTGCCACCTGGTGGTGAAGTCTTGAACTACAACAAGAGCTACACCTCTGTAGCTGTGAGGTGTCATGCAACAATATTGTGCTTGATGCATGTGCACTGTTATAAAGAACTTGCACGATTTACTAGAAAAAAATCCTCGTAACACTTTGCACTGTTTAAGTAAATATAAATGCTACAAATTCAAGTAATATTTATTCATCATTGTCTAGTAAACCTTATTAAGAATATAGTTAAAAGTTTGTGAATAAATCAGGTAAATTTTACGTAATTTGATCAAGTATATGTTACAAGATTTAATTGAGCAAATTAAGTAAAATTTGCCTGATTTATTCACAAATCTTRAYCTATATTCTTAATAAKTTTTACTAGATAATGATGAGAGTAAATATTACATGAATTTGTAGCATTTAAATTTACTTAACAAATGTTGGTGCAAATCGTTTACAGGATTTTCTCTAGTAAATCTAACAAGTTATTTTTACAGTGCTTTTCTGTGATTTCAGACCTCCGTGTCAATGATGGGCTCGGGGTACGTCTCCACGGTGATTGAATGGTGCTTCGTGGCCGGTTGTGGGACTTCTTGATCCTCKATGACAGTGGGCTCCATCTGCACCGTGACCAGGCTCGGTCCTGGTGGTCGGGCCCGGGTGTCTGATGTGTTGGGGCTCTGCTCAACCACTGCGACGCAGTCGTCATCCTCAAAAGCTCTGCGCGAAACACAGCACACCTTGGATTTTAGATGCAAAGGTAGTTTAGCATGTTCCTGTGCTTTGTTGAGCTGTCTGCACCTGTTGTCGTAGGTTCGTCCTGCAGCTCGACGATCAGCAGGTCTCACTGGGAGACCAAAGTTTCTCTGAGCTGGGAAGGAAATTAAGAAATTGAAGATACTTTTTCTTAGACTAAAAGAGAAGTTAATCATGTAGATGTAAAGAACTGATTATAWGTCACCACAGTTAATCAGTCATAGAAAAACAACCAAAAAAGGCCACTAAAGAAGTTAGTTTTTCAGARTGAGCMAAAACTTGGTGTGAAAGTTACAAAGTAGTATCAGATTGCACCAGGGGCGGTTCTAGGGGRGGGGCCACAGGGGCATTGGCCCCTGCTGAAATTTGATTGGCCCCCTGAAGTGCCCCTGTCCTGTCACTCATCTGTGTTTTGCCCAAGAGTCATGATGCTGGGTGRAGTTCTATGTCTAAACACTAGAGGTGCTAATGAGCCAAGTAGAAAAGTCCAGCATGAATCAAGCTGACAGAAGTATTTTTCTTTTCTAAAAATCTGAAAAATCCTGTAGAAAAAGTATTTTAACTCACAAATGTTGGCTGGATTAACTCAAATGTTGTGTAATTGAGAGTATTTTATCTATGTACTGTAAAATGCATGTAAAATTGGTAAGGATAATTTACAGTGCAAGCTGTTTTAAAATTACAATACAAGTGTTTAAATGTGTGACTGGTACAATATATACACCATACCAAAACCAGTGATTTGTGTGCAAGGACGCTGAATAAATACTTGGCCCCTCTATGAATATTGTGGCCCCTTGATGGCCCAGTACTCAGAAAAATCATAGATCCGCCACTGGATTGCACAAGATCTTAAGACATTTCACCAAAAATGCTCAAAATCCATCATCAAACTCAGTTGTTTTCAGCGTTCAGCCTGAATAAAAACATCCCTTTTTTACAGTCTTGAAGATAATTTTTTTTGGCCAACAAGTTTCCGACCTGCTCGACCCGAGGGCGCAGGTTCATTCTTCTGCACCACCGAGTAGAAGGTCACAGTGATGAAGATGAAGGCTAACGAGACCCCCACCCCCACCACYATGGGGACGTCGTGTTTCTCCAGCACTGGCAGCCACGATGGAGACTGCTGAGTCGCTCTGGAACGAGAAGCAGATCTTGATGCGGCGTAAACTCTACTGGAGAAACAGAAATATCGCTTTTTTTCATTTCACCTACTTGGGATCATCGCTGGTCATGGGGGACTGAGAGGTATTCTTCCTCTGCTTGTCTCTGTTGTTGTGCAGTTGGGTCGTGTTTTGCTGATTGGACCAGCTGACCTCAGGGCCCAGAACTGATGAGTCGTGATTGTGAGGACTGGTGGTTGAGAACAAAGCAGCTGTAGAAGGTTGGAGCGTCGGAGMCTCGCTGACTGAAGGAGGTGGAGGTTGTGTTGGAGGAGGAAGTGTTGAAAGCTCCAGATGAAACTTCGGGGAAAAACTCAGCGTGAAAGGCTGCAGAGGACGAGTTTGTTTCATTTGAGGCATCTGAGTGAAAGTCTTTTGGTAAGAAATTGGGCTTTTTGTGTGCTGGAGAGAGTTAGGTTTTGACTGAGTGACTGAAAGTCTGGTTTTAGCAGGACCTTGTGTTGGAGTTGGGGTAAAAGCCTTTAGGAATCCAGAATCTGAAGACTCTGAAGAAGATCGAAACTTGAACATGTTTGTGATTTGACCTTTTTCAGATTCAGAATCAGACTCTAGAAGTGATTCTTCACTGATCTGATGATGAATCGGTGCGATTGATGGTGTCAGTGTCTGACTATCCATGCAGAAATAATCAAGAGTTGCAGCTAAAGCTTCACTGCTCTCTGAAGCTGAGTTGTGACTTACAGATGGTTGACTGTTTGAAGTAAAGAGTTGATTTCTTGTCAGTGGCAGCTGGTGGAGATCTACTGAGTGGAACTTTGGATGGGGAGGAGGTGGAAGCATGGGAGGCTGCATCTGTGTGACAAACGTCTGAGTCGGACTGATGGTTGGATGAAAAACATCAAGAGGACTTGTTGGCATTTTTAGACCTGCGACAACTTCCTTTGGAGATATAGTTGTGCCGTTGCAGCTGAAACCTGAAAGATTTATAAAAARACAGTTAAAGWGCCTGTGACATGCAAAACATCTTTATATTTAAGAAACCTGGCTAATATGCACGGTTTTACCCATTATGTTACATAATTAGCACATTTTCTTTTGAAATTGGCTCAGACAAAGTGAAACAGGAAGTGACATCAAAGGGAACTCTTCGAGAAAGAAAACTCCCTGGTTTTTGTTTATTGAAACAATATTATTTGAACACTGATTCTTTCTCATCTCTTTATAATAGTAATCAAAATAATCTAAAGAAACATCAGATTCTTTTCTACAGTCTGTGTTGTTGGCCTTTGTATTGCTTTGTTCACATTCAGGCATTCCCCTTTGACATCACTTCCTGTTTCTTCACATGCAACTATCTCAACTGTTCATCTGAGCTGCATGAAATCTTTTTTACAATATGTTATAAATCTTATCTTTCCAAAAATACATTCATATTAATTACAAAAGATTTGACATCACAAGCAC